CAAACCCATGAATTTGGGAATCACAAATCCCACTGTATTCTTAAACAGACTTAAATAAGTAACAATACTGAGTATTTATACCAGGGTATTTGCTTCTAAAATCTATTTTGTCTGTATATACACATATCATATATATATTTATATACACACATAATGACACACAGAGGGGCAATTTTAAATTTCTGTAGAGACTTTTGAAGAAATTTATCCCTAACAGTACAAAAGCTTATACATGTTCCATTTAACATGACATTTGTTCCATACCTTAGTTCTTCGGCAGTTTTTAATTTTATTGTTTTAGTTTCTGATGATTCAGAGTTTGTATTATTGGGCAGGGGGGTGGAATCAGGCATAGCCAGCCAGGCAATTCAGTGTGCCTTCCAAAAACTGGCCTATTAATCTTCACACTGGCTATGGTCACCATACCCAATGGGCCTGACAGTTTAAAGAATAAAACATAAATACCAGGCCTGACTGTGTTGTTAAAGCCAACCATTTCTGACAGTCTCTACAAAGGGATAAACACTGTCTGTCTACAGTCCCCATGTATTTGAAAGCTACGACAAACATTTTACTGAAATGTAAATAACTGACATCACGACTGCTGAAGCAGGAGGCTGAAAAATCTATCTAAAAATCACAAAACAAAAAAAAACATTGCCTGACACAAACCAAACCATTAACGGTCACTGAGAGAGCACTTTTTAGAAGTCATAAGCACTGAGATCCTTTTTTAAAAAAAAGTATTAAAACACTGCAGTCAATTAACAGCTCAGATTCACACATTTTTTCAGTTACAAAATTACACCTTTTCTAAGGAAGTATTTTTTTTTTCCCTGAAATCTGTTTCCAGTAAGAATACTATTCTGAATGAGTAATAAAAATAAGTATCTTGAAACTTAGCCTACTGAAAAGGAGCTAGGTTTAGGTTTGTATGAAGAGAGCTGATAAGTATAAGCGCTGTGGCCCAATTTATTAAAAGCCTCCTCTTCTATTCTTCCGGTTCCATTTTACTTCCACACTTTAACAACTTAATTTGCACTCATTATTATTTACTGAGATTTTTACAGCACCTAGAGAGCCTGAAGGAGATTAGGCACACAGCTATCCCCAAAACTGTACAAAATCTTAGTAAGTTTTATGAACACCAGAACCAGTGAAATCTTGTTTGTTAGGGCTTTGTGCCTTGTGATGGACACACGAGCTTCAGCTGTAACATTTGCTTAGGCTGGTACATTTATAAAACCTCTGTCCTTCCCCTGCATCTGTAGCCTTCTCCTCAGGAGCACATCTGTAAGATCTTCTGTCAAATCACTTAGTTAAAGGAATCTTACAACTTGTGTTGTGATGAAGATCTTTTTCAAACTAGTGGTCTGATGAGAAACATCATCTAAAAATAATTCCAATTAAGCAGATTAACTGCTGCACTTGGATTCTAAAAATCATGAGGTTCTCTCATGATCATATTGAACCTCTGTGTCATACTCCCAGTCAGAAGGACAGGAGACACACTAAGGGCTTGTCTAGATGTCACATGTAAGTATCGTACAAATTTAACTGAAGTGATTTAACTGCAGTGTTCTAGCTGCAGCTGAGCCAGGTGAAAAGGCTACTGCCCTCAGCTGCTTGTCACCATCCTCCTTATTGAAGGTAGCATCCTGCCACATTCCTCAGAATAATGGTGTCTGTCATCTCTGCCTAGCCCAGACCTATCAAATTGACCTGGAATACTTTACACATTTAGAAGTAGGACTTTTAAAAACTGAACCCCCCCAAAAAACCCTAAAAACAAATTTTAGGAAGAACTTTAGGCAAGTGATGTTCTGTCAGCAAGTCTAAGGATGACCATGTGAAAGGCAGTAACCGCTAACCCAGGTCAGGTTCATAGCCTTGGAAATATATGTACTTCAGTCAGTGTAACGTCTAATGTCTGTGCAGCAGAAAATGATTCTGGTTTTTTAATCAGTAAGTCTCACCTCCCTGTACATCGAAGGAAACACATGATATAAACACAAGCAACTTAAAACTGTACCTGTAGTCACATTAATAGGATATACAGCTTTAAATATACTGGTTTCAGAAAGTGTTCCCGATTAGAAGACATTTCTGTATGACTGCTCAAGATCTAACAACCACTTGAAGCAAAGCAAAGCAACTCCTTTTTCATTTATTAGCACTCAAATCACCCACTGGATTCAAAGTGAAAGTTGTCGATTTTGCTGCATTGCATGGGGAACAAGCAGCAGCCTATGAATTGTGTGTCAATGAGAAGCAGGTAAGTGCTACAATAAACAGACAGGACTTCAAAAAATACAGTGGTTAAGATGTATCTTTGCCCGAGAGACAGATTTCTCAAATCTGACTATCTAGAGGATATGCCGATACAGAAACCTTTCAGTTTACATTAAACAAACTCTTCTTGCTATACTGGTGAAATCACTTGGCCCCAAGTGCAGAATCTGCTTATGTCCAGCAGACCAGGAAGGCATGCAAAACAAACCCAAGTTTATCACAATAATTATGCAGGCATGCCTCATCCTAGAACGTTCTCACATTATAAAAGAAGTCCAGAAATGAGAAAAAGCCTTATTCACTACTATGAAACACAACAGTGAAGACTAAGTCCAAAAAGGAATTGTTAGTCTGATTTGATTCTACTTGAAGGCAAAACCCAGTGAGACAGGGCTGCCAATCATCCGTTTGTGGCTTTTTTTGTGATTCAATTTTGCATAAAGTATACACTCCTACCCTTTAATGCTGTTTTAGTATAGTCATGGAATTTCTAATGAGCTGAGTAACTCTTCCTTCTGTTGAGAAATTTAATGGTTATTTATTTTTCTTATTTACTGTTACCAACAGCAGCTCTGCATTTTATTTCATAGTTTGTAAACCAAATCTTTATTTCCCTGGTGAGACAGTATAAATACATTTTTCAGTCAGTGTAAACTATTAACAAAAGAAAAATTCAATGTTTCACAGTATGACTGAAAAGAGGGTTTTTTGGATCAATTTTAGTTTATAATACTTTTGCATGACGACTTCTGAGCCTGAAGAATTTCTAGTAAGTGGCAAGGATCTATTGTAGTGAACTCTGTCCTCCCTCAGGGCAATTCTTTATTCAACCCAGGCCATTAGCAAGGGTAAATCAATGTTATCAGCTCACACACACTGACAGCTTGTGTGGTTCCCACTCCCTCATTCCTCCCCCCACATTATGGTATATTTTTATGCTCTCCAGGGAAATTCAATTAACAGTGTCAGTCTCCTCCTCTCAGTCGATGACTGACACCATCAAGATTCTTTTCACCGCCCATTGACATGTAGAGATGTGTCTGCTGATTTCTTCCCTTGCAAGTTAACAAGAGAATTACTATCCACTTCTACAAATGACTATGTACGATCTGTGCCGTAAACACAGTGACAGCTATTGAAATCAATCTTTCGTGACCTTATTGATTAGGACACTCAGAGATAATAACACTTCTTCAGTGGTAGAGTAATGTTTTGGTGGTAAAAACCCAAATCAACAACAAAATAATGCATGCCTATTAACGCTATCAAATTTATCTTTTACTTCCCCACTGCAGACTCAACAAGCAGTAAAATGTTATGAACAATTAATAATTAACATTTAGCTGCAAGTCATGTCTCATTTAAAAAAAAAAAACTCAGAGAACATCTACTGATGAGGGGCTGGATACCACACCACTTCACAATAATAGTTTCCAATAATTATTTAGATAACTTTCAAAACAGATACATCTTTTTATACTCTTCATGCAACAACGTGATTTCTATATTTTTAAATAAATGATTATTGAAAAATGAATCCGTTAACACAAACACTGAAAAATCTGAAAACATCACAACTCTTTCAAAAACACTATTAAACTTGGTAAGCAGCTCAAAGTAACTAAAAGAATACACAGCAGAACCCTATGCATCGCAGGCAGCAGTTACTATTTAAAAGCATATGCGTATGCGATTAGCAATTGTGTTCCAAATTGACGAAGCTGTGAAAAGCATCAAGCACAGCTCTCATCTTCACAGACACCAACTCTGAACCACAATGATGCAACCCCCTCCTCAGATTTCATTAATTTGGTTTCTCTCGGAAATAATTTTCATGATTTCTTGATTACAGATATGAAAGAGAAGTATTTTCTAATGGTTAAAGAGAGAACAGAACATAATGTTCCAGCTCAATAAAGCCTTTTTTTTTTTTTGAAAAGCTTTCAATTTGAAAACTCAAATACCATGGTCCTAATGGAGCAAAAAAAATGCATTACAAGACACAAAGCACTGTGGCAGCAGACTGACCATGATGAAACAGTAAAAAAGATGCAAATGCTATGCTCGCAATTTAAAAAAATCCAACACTTACCATAAACCAAAACATGCCCTACAAACATAGCACTTTGAAAAAATTCAAAACATAGAAATATCCCAAGTATATGTACATCATTCCTTCACCCTCCATCAAAGACCTACCCCAAAAAATACAGGCTTTGTTGTATTCCAGGAAAGCTCAACAGATTTGTGCTCCTTCAAAACTCAGCCACAACACCACAGTATGGTGGCTGTGACAGCAAAGCTGGCTCCAATTCTTTCCTCTGTTCTCTGCTAATTGTTTTGGCCCCTTATTGTAAAAGCTGTTTGTGGGTATGCACTATAAACTAGATGACTGAAATGGCTCAGGTTAAAAACAATCCTAATGAAAATACAGTGTAAGTACAACTTGTCATTATCCAGATGATCTAGCATCAGTCAAGTGTGTTTTCAGCACTTCTGCAAAAATGCCTATATAAAATCTGTGTCGAAATCAAAGCATCCACTGCTGCAACCACCACAGGAAAGTGTAATAGCAGACACTGCTTGTTACACGGAGGTCATGTATTCATCAATACATGTTTAAAACATTCCCAAATCCAAACTGATGATATATGAGGGCAACACAGTTTATAGGTTAATCATAAGTTATTCAGTAACAGTCACAATACCTCTTTTTCCAGAATACGAGAGATCTCTCCTAAAGTCCTGTCCAGAGCAGAAACCTTGTTGCTCCCCAACGAACAGCTATCCTGCATTTGGAGGTGCTTTAAAAGGTCTTTTGCTAATCGCTGTAACCTTCAACATTAAACAGAAAACAAAGAGCAGTTAAAGCAAAAACTCTCCTGATCATGTAAACTTTCATCTTTGTAATGAAACTGCAAACTAAATTTCAATAAAGCAATCATGAAAATTTGCATAAAAGTATTATCACCATCTACACTGAACAGCATGTAAAATATGCAATACAGCAAGGAGACACAGTCAGCTTAGAGTGTCTATGACATTTCACTATCTACTTTTTCAGGGAAATGGCACAGAAATAGTGTGAACAGTACAGCCATAATGGTGCTTCTTTATTAGCTACATGTTTGTTTCTGTTTTTTCCCTATTCTCCCTCCACAGTTTATCCTGCTAGTTTTTGCCATCTTCATTTTCAACATGGTTTCCTCCTCCTTTTCTTCCATCATTCAATCCTTTCCGCCCACTTAGCTGAGCAGTTCACTCTTGAGATGAGTAAGGGAAATAGAACAGCAGACTACTTGGCTAATTTGTTATAGGCATCATAAAAGAAATGGCTCTTTAGGGTTATTTGAATAAGTGAAAAGTAGTGACTTTGCAGACTCCCTCAGAAAGGGCATTTTATTAATGAGGGCCATTAATGAAGCCAAAATGCAGAGGTGGGAGAGATGTAGACACACGTGGGTTTGGATTCATTTCAGTTTTACACATCTAATTCTGTGCTATTCACCTATGCTCTCCTGCTAGGCAGTGAGGAGAAATACGCAGTTCCAAGGCACCATTCACCTCTTCCTAAGGTCTAAAATAAAACAGTCAAAACACACTCACAGCGTATCCTTCTTTGCCCTGAACGCGAAGTTAGTAACTAGCTCAGATGTAGACTTCTGGATCTGTAGACGCCTTAAGCTGGATGATACAAATGCTAAACAGAGTCCCTTAACTGGAGACTAAGAGAAGTAGGGAGGAAGTGTTGTGCAGTACTGGCCATGCATTTGTCAACCACTGCCTTAATACATGCTACTGGCTGCTCTTAATGACAGGCTCAGCATTTGGTAGACCTTTGGTGTGATCTATTGAGCAATTTGTACTGAAAGTGGGACAAAGCTGGTAATTGAGCAGGATGAGTGGGAGAAATACTGTTGTGACTAGAAGGAAACATAGCTCTATAGGAAGGAAAAGAGAGGGGAAGGGTATCAATGCTTAGCATAAACTCGGAGATCATCAGCGTAAAAGGGCCAGAAAGCATTCACAAAGTGACCACAGAGTAATGGCAAAGAGAAAAATGACATTAACTAGTCGCCAAGAGGCAAGAAAGGAGACAGAATGGCTGGGGAATGTATCAAAATAGTCACATGTATTCAAAAAAAAAAAAAAAATCAGAATATTCATTTGGAGCAAGAATAGAGAGTTTCCACTTAATCAATAGGAAACAGGTACTCTGTACTTTTTCTTCAAAAAAAATTAAGAGCTTTGTTAAAAGCTTTCAAGAGACTGAAAATACATACATGTTTTTAAAGTACAAACAAAAATTATTTGCAGAATTTTGAGTCTTGGACTTCTTATCATCTGGTCAGCTGAATCCACTAATATTCAGCCAAGATTTTTCTATGACAAGAAAAATAAAGGGAGATTACGTCCTGATGAGATTTTCTGCACTGCTATTTCCTCTGTGGAAAATGAGGTTGGAGGAAACCTCTGTCTAACTCAGTAAGCCACGAGCTAAAATGGGAAAGAAAATTAAAAGCCAAAACACAAATAACTGCAGGACTTGGACAGTAAATCAAATGACCACCAACACTGCTGAGCATAATGAGCAGACTGCAGCACCAATGAAAAGTCGAATTGCTGCAGTCCAGGAAGATGATCTAGAAGCAGAGTATTTCAGGTATGCTCATAGAATGTGATTTAGAATGGCTATTGCCTTGGCAATATCCTAGCGCATTAAGCAAAAATAAAAACTTTCTCTCTTCGAAACACCTACCCAAATTCCATGATTAAAGCATATATAAAGCACTGGAAAAAACCCACCACACTACATTGTAACTTCATCTGACAGAAGACAGCAAGACTGGTTTCCATTTGCATCATTTAACATCAGAGGAATGGAATTCAACCAGGATTAACCACAGAGGCTAAAGAAAGGGACTTTCCTAATCTACATCAGGCATCAGCATACAAAATGTGTAAGGTTTATCAAAACACTACTCACAAGGACTCAAATAGAAAATAATCATATTATATTGTTACTTCTGTTGACAAATTCCCTTTCTTTATCTTCAGTCTATAAAGATGCTACATAAGTTAAATGTCATGTTCAGTTTCTCTCCTCAATTAAAAAAAAAAAAAAACCTGCTATACAATACATTAACTCTGAAGGAAAAGCTTCCAGCTTTCTGTTTCTTCTGAAAGTCTTTCTGGACACTTCTACCAAAATTAAAACTTTTTAAGTGTGTGTTCAGCATCATACCGTAAGAAAAATGAAGAATAAATTTTCAGTTCTGCCACACAAAGAATTACCTCTTACATCCTCATATCCTACTGTATGTTGGTCATCTGCCAAAAAAAGGTAACATATGCTATGTGATCACACAGGGAAGAGAAGGCAAATAAAATCTCCCTCCTCCCAGCAAGTGAACTTGGGAGAAATTATTTTAATTTAATATCCGTTATACTGATGCCATGGATTAACTCCAGCCGGCAATTAAGCACCATCCAGTCACTCGCTCACTGTCCCCCCCCCGTGGGATGGGGGAGAGAATCAGAAGAGTAGAAGTGAGAAAACTCGTGGGTTGAGATAAAGACAGTTTAATAGGTAAAGCAAAAGCTGTGCACACAAGCAAAGCAGAACAAGGAATTCATTCCCTACTTCCCATCATCAGGCAGGTGTTCAGCCATCTCCAGGAAAGCAGGGCTCCATGACATGTAACGGTTACTTTGGAAGACAAACACCATCACTCTGAACGTCCACCCCCTTCCTTCTTCTTCCCCCTAGTTTTATGGCTGAGCATGACGTCATATGGTATGGAATATCCCTTTGGTCAGTTGGGGTCAGCTGTCCTGGCTGTGTCCCATCCCAGCTTCTTGTGCACCCATCTATTATTTTTTTAATAGATACTACAATAGAGGGAGGAAGAAAAATCTATTGCGGACATCTTCTAAAACTTTCGTTTCTAAAAAAGAACTACTTAGAGCCTTTCACAATCCCACTCAGGAGTCAGATTCAGTATTCTGAAACTGCAAAAGGTATACATACCATGTCTATCAAAGCAGGATAAACACTGTCTGCTTATTGATATTAGTATATTACTAATGTAAAGCTTAGAAAGCACTTGGATCAGTGCTTCCTTAGTGCAAAAGGTTTTACAAATCTGCAAGGCCTTGACTCTGTGTAAGCACTGCTCAGCAGTAACTAAAACATCCCTGTATTTTCAAAACTGTTTCCAGCACAAATCCAAAACGTAGCCCCATACTAGCTACTACGAAGAAAATTAACACTACTCCAGCCAAAACCAGCACAACTGATTTCTTGGCAGTGTCAGAGAAATAAGAATAATTTTAGGACTGTTTCAAAGAACTAGAAATCTATGCAAGATGACTTGTGCTTGGATATAGAATTTATCATTGCTATGAACGGATTTGGAAAGAGAGAACTCTTTGTACATATTGTACTCCTTGTACACTCTTTGTATGCACTGTAGATTAACAGAGCATGGTATCAACACCCGACTCAGTGATTACATGGAAATACTGTTGCATCCAAATCGAAACATTTCAAGACAATTATTTAATCTTCATTCTGTCCCCTAATTTGCATTCCTCCAATGCTTACTATGCCATACAGGGAATGACAAATAACTTAAAATTTACTGGGCTAAATAAAAGGGAAAGTTAAATTTAATGTCTTTTTAGCTGAAGTTATTTACATCATTACTAATTAAGATTTTAGTATTGCCCACAAACAGATAATTCAGAATGCAGAAGAAATATCATAAAGGACATAAGGCACTGATTGGGCTTGGAATGTTACCATAACATAAACTTTAACCAATATTATGTTCATTCAGCAAATACATTATCTGATCTTTTTGCACTGCAAATTGGAAAATGAGGGATATTCGTATTAAAGGTTTATATAGCAAATACATAAACACAATTAAAACAAAGTATTGTATGAATTAAGGGTTTCTTTTTAGCGTGGGCTAAATATTTTTAGTAGGTTTAATGTATTTTATAAGCTAAAGGAAAAAGATCTCTGTTAATGTTTATAGGCCACATTTCATCTCTAGAAAAAAAAAAAAAAAAGCCCTGAAATGGTAACATCAATATATTTCAACACTTCCACATTTAAACCCATGATTTCTTGGCTGTACACTGAATGTATGCAAGGAAGGATTAGTACGACTGGGCAGAGCGCTGGATTCTGTGCAGCTCCTGTAGGGAAGGAGCGGTTACTCCTCCCGTATGTTCCTGCTGAGGGCGGCCAGATGCCAGCCGGACACACAGCCCCAATTCTTCCTGATGCAGCCTGTGCCTGGAGAGAACTGAGAAAGTCTGTGGCAGTTCCTGCCCAGCCCAAAACAGGGAGTTATGCTGTATCCTCTTAAAGCAACGTACAGCCCCTGCACTATTCTGTACTGCCTGCAGTCTGACCCCCTGCAGCAAAATTAATATACATGGAGGCACATGTGGCATACTCCAATCGCTCTAGGTGCACAATGGATAACACCATTCTACATCTTGACACAGTCCCAAACACTGCTAGACATGAAACATCTAAATCTACAGCTTCACATACCTTCTTTAGTTTTTGAAATGGAAGCTATCTGAAAAAAGAAAAATTCCTATACAGATTATTTTCTGAATTTATTTATTTTAATTCCTACAGGAATGCTCCAGAAATTCTCTGAAGATGAAATCTACTGTCCACCCAATCATAAAGCAGGTATTTATCTTTTTTTAGAGTTTAATTGAATTTTATTTTATTTACACTTTGACTCTTCTATAGTTCACATAGCTGCTTGGAAACTAAATTTTGCACAGATTTCAGCTTCAGAGAT